TCATACACATCAATAAGTCAAGTAATCCTCAACATGCAGTTATTCGTGATGTTGGTCAAATTTGTCAGTATTTTCGATATTGTTAATGAACTGGTGCAAGTTTAAGATCGCCGATCGAAGCTGACATTCTAATATCGTATGCAACAACACCGGGTTATGTGTCGTGGCGTAACTCGATGAAAGGCAGTTGGTTCATACAGAGTATTTGTGAAGTGTTCTCGAAGCGAGCCAAAGACACCGATATCTTAGCAATGCTCACTATGGTTGGTCCGTTTCTGTCGTTTGAATTGTTTTAAGCCACTGTTTTGTGCATAGTATTTTGTGATTACTTTCAAGGTTCCCTTTATTCTCCACGAAGTATTGACCTCATTGGCAACTGAACAACACAAAAATGATCGTTTTCTGTTGATTCAGTCCCATATTCGTTGCTGTGTCTGTCTCTTCAGACAAGCATTTGATTTCGAACAATTCAGAATTTAGAAGCATTAACAAGCTCTAATGAATACATTCGAGTTACTCTAGTCAGGCTATCACCTCTATTCATTACTTCAAAATTCTTTATTCGTTGCATATTTTCAGTACTTAATCGAATGACCTTATTTTCACTGTATAAGTCGTAGTCAACATGAATAGAATTCAATACATCATCGCTCGACCTGTACGGAACTGAATTTTAATTCAATTAAGGTCAACAAAAGAGTCGCGGAAGCATTCGAGAGTACGTCAGGGGCATACAAGCAGATACCTGATCATTCGTCGAGATTGCGTCGGAATTTCTATTTCTTTCCTGGAATCAATCAAAAAACACATTAATGCGTCGATTATGCCATTTCTTCGACTGGAATCCAGAGCTGTTATTGGTTGATTCTTAGGTCATATCAACCGTTGCATTCATCGATGTTTTTTAGCAGTTGTTGAAGTGATCAGTTTTGTTATTGAAGTGATTTTCATAATGTATTTAGACTCGTTCGAAGGTTCTTCAGAATCCGTTGTTGTGTAATTATTTGTACGTGTATGTTTAGTAATTGAGTAGAGGGATAATTTCTCAGAATTGTCACGAGAGAAGACGTTCTGCGTGAAAATTCGTAGACGTTTCATCGATCTCATTGATTGGTGTTTATATGCGATTGCATCATTCCGTATCGTATTGCATTTACGGTTGTCTTCTTCCTTTGCCATCTTCGA